GTTTAAGAAAAGGTGGCACCGCTACACTCCTCATTTTTCTGTTTTTTAAAACCTTTGGCTTTCGTAAGAACGATCAGGGAAAGTGAGAGCAGCTGCATGCCGTGAGATGGCACAGAGAGGAAACCAACTGAATATGTAGGCGGAACGTTGTGATGAGCTGTGAGGAGTTTTGATAGAAAACTAAAAATGCTTAAACTTAAAAATCCAGAGGTAAAAAACAGCGTATCCGGAGGGCAGGATGCAGTAGACCCACAGTGATGAGCTAGGCGTCCCTTTGAACACGGTCCCCAACGTAAAATTCCTAGCAGTTATAAGGCTACAGAAATACCCTAGAAGATAAGGCAAGACTCTGGAGGAAACAGCAAGAAAAAACAGTGCTTTGGAAGGAGGATCAGCTTGTGGTACGAGCTTACTTTATATCACGTTTAGAATGAAAACAAAATACCTTATATTAGTACCAGTTTGGCTGTGCATGCATTCGCTTACATCACATGGGACTGCAATGGCATAAAACAGGGCCATCGATATTTTTTGGAGCTTCGCGGCAAACTCCGCCTATCCTGTGCCATCCACCGATAGCGAAAGTCCTATCACTACTTTTTGCGGTTTCCAAGACTTCTTGGAATCAATTAATAAGTTCGGTTACTCCGCTCGGCGCACGGCACGCCCATCATCAATCTTTACCCTTATCTCCTTCACTAACCTTATCCACTCTTTCCGGTTTCTGGGACTTCTCTGAACCGAATTATGAGGATTTGTATTAAACAATACCTGACTGGGGTGGAAACCCGCCCGCAGTAGGCGAAGCGTGTTCTTGAGTGGGCACTGTTTATTACAAATCCTCATGATTCGGTTCAGAGAAGTTCCAGAAACCGGGAAAGAGTGGATAAGGTTATAGAAGGAGATAAGGGTAAAGGTTGATGATGGGCGTGCCGTGCGCCGAGCGGAGTTTGCAACCGAACTTATCACGCGATTCCGAGAAGATGAGCGCATCTTAGACATTGCACTTCTGAACTCATTTGTTCTTGCTCCATTGGCTTCCTACTGACCAAGCTATGATTTTTTGCAGAAAAAAAGGGAAAAGTGAGCAGAAGCCAAAAAGGAATGAAGGACGTGTAACCCTGATAACATCCTTCCGATTATTTCCGTGAATAAATACAAAAATAAATAAGCATCCGCCACATGCATTTAACAAAGCAAGAACACGAGCGATAAGTTAAAATTAGTCTCAATGTAGTGATGTGAAAAAGTTGAATAGCTATGGAAATCGCATACCTCGTGAAACATCACAGCAATGAGTACGTTCATGAAGTCATCTTTATCATGCTGCAACAAGATTGCTCGGTTAACGTGATCTTTTCTTTGACACAATTATAGAACTTTTCGTCGAGATACGTTACCTGTACACCTAAAGCAATTCCTTCGAAAAATGAGTGAATAGATAGCCCAAATAATAGAAAGAGAGTGCGAGCAGATATACCATCAGTAGGAGGAGGAGCATGGCTATGCCCTGCGTGCGGAGAACCGCAATCCATCGGAGAGGACTGTAATGAAATGCTATTTGAAGTTTGCCTTTTGGAAGCTGAATTTCTCAAAAGAAAATCAAAAGCTTCCCATTTTCACTGTAGCATTCGCAACAAAGATACTCTATTATTTATTATTTTATTTATTAAATTCCAGATGCCTTATCATAACAATACCTCAACTTCACTCTTCACAAGAATCCTACCTACCAAAAATGAGGTGGGAGTTCGCTGCAAAACTTGTTTCCTAATCATTTACTAGTGGACATGTGGAAAACACATATCAACAGGGACGCACTTTCTCCTTCTGTATTTAGTACGATACAGCAACGTTAAACTCATTTAGGAGGGATTACTTCGCATGGGACGCACCTTAACACTATCACCTTTAAATTTGAAAATTAATAGTTTTCAACCCTTGAAACGAATTGAGTTCAAGATTATGTTCGCCTAACCCAACACATTGGCGACACCGTGACGCGACTGTACGTCCCACCTTTGCACACCACGTCGGACATTGTGACGCGGTAACGCGTCCCACCCAAGTCATCCCTTTTTCTCGCGCTTGCGCGACTTCTTCCCAAATCGTTTGCATGTATTCCATGGATTACATCCAGAATGAGTGTAAAGGACATGGTCCACCGTATAGTCAAATATGCTTCAGTGTTTAGGACGTTACGAAATTTTCAACTTGGTTATTACCTGTTTTCTTCTAATTCTCTAGACCGTGTAAATGAAAAAAATAGCAGAAGTAAGCATAAACCTATGCAGATAGCGAGTCCACGGTTTCCTTGACGCAACCACGTCAAAAATATTTTTGACGTACATTTTAGACAAAAAGAGCAAAACTTGCTCTTCATTGCAATCACACTTCAATTAGGTTTTATCGAAGTTTCACTAATGAGCTACGCATTAAGCCAAGCATCAAATATTGCTGAGATGGTTATTGGCTATTTATGTCTTCACAGAAATCACTCAAAAATTACGGGTGTGAGGTGGGGTGGTCGCGCTGGCAAAATCGCGCCTGTTCATGTGGCCAAAAAGCCGAAGCGAGCGCTGTCGCCAACGTGTTAATGAACGGGCTCGTCCTTACCTCTAGCCAAACACTAGTTATCGACTCAGTATATGGAATGAAAGAATGAAAATGATAGAAAATATTTTGTGCTTCAAAAAAGACAGTGGAAACGCTGTTAATGTGAGCGGAGTCTCCTAGAACGTTTTCTTTTGCTGTTATCGTATAGGATCTATTTGGAACGAAAATCATCAATGGTACGAAAAACCACCCCTTACACCATCAGCGTGTCAGCGACTCTGCCTGGAGAAGTGTTTTCTTATGACTAAGCATCCTGTGATAAAAATACTGGTGTTTATTCAAATCGTTCTTATGAGTTTCGCTCAAGGAAAAAAGTGGCGCAACGAAATTGTCGGAAAACTCTCCGCTTCTATTGTAGGTGCCAAAAAACAAACAGACTGAGCAAATTGCTGGATTATAATTCCGAAATATGCGGTCCGATTGTTTGTAAGGAAGCTAATTAATAATAGTGGACGAAATTATTCACAGACTTGCTGAAGCAAAGCAAGTTCTGTTTTCTGCTCGACAAGTGAATATGAGGCCACGTTTCTGCGAACTGTGGCCCATCACGGCTTAATCTATGATATCGTGAATGGCATCATGGTTGTTCCAGCTCGAAACACGTTGCGTGAAATTTTTTCACACTTAGATGAGGAAAACACAATGTGCCAATTACGATAAAGGAGAACACCTAAATAAAATAACGTAAATGTCTTACTGAGCGAAAAACAATATCTTGCATGCCATCCTCGTGATCATCGAGGGTGGTGTCAACTAGAGGCTGACCATCTTCGGTATCTCCTTCAAGGAGTGATCTCAATGAAGGTAGAGCATCTCCGCGACTCGGTGAAGTCTTTGAAGATGACCCGTTGCTCGAGCACACGTGAACTAACTGGAAAATTCCAATAATGTCATGCTCTTAGAAATGATATACGATAAAAAAACTACTCCAAAGTATCTTCGTGGCGCTCACCTGTTCAATTATTAGAATCATAAGGAATCCAAGTAAAACTACAGATTCGGTATTGATGAAGAAGCCACGTTCTTCAGGACTATTTTGAGTGGACGAGTTCTCATTTGCAGCTCTCCAAGACAATCTAAAAGATGGGAAATTATCATAAAAAAAACCAGGAAGAATACTCAATTGGAAAAATGAGGAAACCAAAGAACACTGGAACCTGAGAATCCCAGTGCCTCAGCGTCACCGCAGGATGCGGATGGCCTCACAAAAAATATTCCCGAAAGAAAGGAGCATGTATCGCTTGCTGTCTGTGCCAAACATCACTACGTGGTGGCTTGGATAAGATCCGCTTATGTTGTCACCCGTTACATCCCGGGAACAAAGAAGAGCTCATTGAATGGAACGTAACATTTTCTGGTCTCGTACGGCTGTTTTTGGTTTCAGTAGGCAGAGGGGTGGGCTGTGTAAGCAAAGCCGCATTCTAAATGTTCAGAAGCAAACTCCGTAGATCAAAAAAAATGTTAGAAGTTGTTTGCACTGTGAGGAGGACGATGTATGCAGATCGCATTTCACACTAAAAAAGGCAACCAATGACAATAAGACAAAAGCATCACAGACTCCGGTGTTCTGAAAAGAGAGCTGTGGAATTTAAAGCCCCTTTTATGAGGATATTACGATATTTAATAAGAGTATGAAGAAAGACAATAACGAATAAGGTCTTCCTGGTGCAAACGTGCTAAACTACAGAAACACGTTGGCAACAAGAAATTCCACATGCTGCGCAATTGCAAATAGGGAGTGAATTGATCCGCCTGCAAAACGTGAATATTTATATGCATCGCTCAACTCTCGCCACACAAACACCGCACCCGCTAAACTAAAAAAAATAGGAGGTGGGAGACTCATACGATTAGGTTTTGAAAATAATAGATCGTGAGGGAGGGGGGGGAGGCTGCTCGATTAGGTTGAAGTATTAATAAGAATGATAGCGAATCTGCCAGGAGCTAATCATTGCTAAAAAATTACTTAGAGGACACTTATATCTGATTACACTCCGCACGATCAGAATGCATATGGCTCATTGTCTCAATCGATGCAATGCTCATCTGCGGTCGCGTTCATAGTTCGCTCCTCAAGAGATTAAGATAGTAGGCGATAGGATATTAGGATAGTAGTAGCGTAAAACATCGCGCTGACAAGATTAGATCCGTATCGATTGGAATGGCTGGATTAGCACATTAGGCGCCTTCCTGAGCGAATGTCCAAGTATCTAATTCTCCGCAAAGGGGCGACCGGACCGGCTGTCAGCGCACTGTCCTAATCTCATCTACCACTATCCTACTCTCTTAACCTTCTCCTACCGTACAATCCCCCTGTCAATACATAGCTACTTTATTGTCGAGTACTACCCTACTCTCTCGCAAAGTATCACGCGGACTGAAGAAGCTTTCAGCAAACACCGTGGAAGAGGCATGTTTTGTGCAACCTAATGAAAATGAATCCGCATCTAAAGTGCTATCGACTGACTATTAGATTTGCACCAAATAACCATTCTTGTATTATTTTGGCAATGAACTTGGCCTAAACTCCACGCCATACGTTGGCAAATAACTGACTATTAGGTTGTTGAAGATATCACTTTTTACATTACAGCAATCGTCGACAAAGCAGCAATCCTGGCGGCGGGGGGGGGGTAGCATGTGAGCCCCACACATTGCTCAGCTTGTTTAATCGAGGAAATCAATAAGGCTTCTGCCAGCTGGTATCCCCTATACTTCACATGTGAAAGCCCGAATATGATAGATGAACCACTTGCCTGTCATCAGTCCGACTGCGATGAATGAATAAACTAATATTGAGAAATGTGCAGAAAGACTAGAACAAGAAAGATGAGTATCCCTGACACTAATGCAAGTAGCATTTCTCTCAAAACTGATTAGTGGCTAAAACACCATCCCCGCCAAATCATCTGAAACGTCATGTTTAATCAAACGCAAATGAAGCTAATCGATTTTGAAGATTATATATTACATACACTGGGTCATTGAGCGGCAAGGAGGATGGATGCGGAAATTTGGACAAGATTCTCGCAGAGAAGTGATGTGGGTATTGGAGTTCAACGGTATTATACATTAACAAGAGCGTCGCAATTCCTTGCCATACAACAACAACAAAGCCATCAAAACTTAACACTTCTGCGAATAAGACAACAAGTGAATATTAACAGTATGGTTGGATGATTTATTTCAACGCCGTCCACGGGACTTGCCACCTCTTGCACGTCCTCTGCCACGGAAGCCACCAGATCCGCCTTTTGGACCGAACTTCTCTCTTCCCTCATTAATGTTTTCGAAACTGCAAACAAGAAATTAAGCAAAAATGGTACTTAAGCTGAAACAATCTCATAAATATAAAACAACACCTTCGCTTTCAAAATATGTTACTAGAAGTAACTGCTTTTAAATCTTGTATGAACACACCTCTCTTTGTCGTTTCGTTTACTGCCTTTTTTCTTTCCTCCGTATCCAAACTTTTCGCTTTTCCACTTCTTCTTCGCATCAAAACCGCGACCCATTTTAGATCCACCGAAGTTTTTCATTTTATTCGCCGAAGTCGATG